CACGAACTTGCTATCCGGTGCGATAACCAACAGACGATTCGGCTTCTCATCAAGGAAGCTCCTCAGCTGCGGACAAAGCTACGTCACGTTGATATCCACCACCATTGGCTCCGTCAGGAGGTCCAAGCAGGCAGGATTCTCATCAGATGGACCGAAACGAAAAGTATGGCTGCGGACGGACTCACTAAGCTACTGCCGCGCCAGAAGCACACAGAATTTATCCAATTGATGGGCATGGAGGATATTGGAAATCTGCTAGATTAGCAGAGGTTGTTGGGAATTGTGCAAACGCTGAGGGGGTGTGACGAACTGAGAGAGTGGTCAAATACCACTAGGACCCTTTGGGACGCTTATTCATCGATCACCCAATTCCCACTAGTATTTGTACGGTATTCCGGGCAGATTCGGAAGGACGGTGTTGTAACACGCCGAAGCTTATTTGTATAGACCCCTGAGATCGTTCAACCGATCTTTAAAACACCTACAATCAATCACCTGATTCTATTGGACATGTTCAGTACCAGCCAGTACATCAATTCCTCATCCTGACACTTTTTTATCGTGAATATCGTGAGATTGCCAGGACCCATACAAAAGTCGAGGCTAGAGTGGATTAACTCGTCGTGCTGCAGTGTTATTGGACGACTGCTCTCAGTGCTGTTGGTCAACTAAACTGTATGAAGATCATGAATCATCATCATTGATGTAATAGTTATAGCCCAAGAGATCCGTAAGTAGCTCCTGACGATGGGGCTATCGACATTCAGATCAGCCAATCAAAACTCTTACTTCCTGGAACGGAAGGTCACCTGGCCCGCATCAGGATTTAGCTAGGGCAGTTTTGTCATTGCCACCATTTGACAAATATCACGTGGTACTACCGAGTCTGGTATATTCCATGCGTAGGTGACTATAACACACATCTATTGGTATTTTAGATTGCTAGGGACTGTTAGTTACCCAATCAGTTCGATCGCACGCGACAATCGCTAGACGGAGGCAAAGCCGCAGGCTAGAGCCAAGTTAGGGGAGGCTTTAATCGTTGCTTTTACACTCCACCACCGCCGGGCAATATTGCTCCCACATTTGTTGTCCCGCGAAAGGCACCAATCGATGATGTCAAAGACGTTTACAATGTATATAAGACGGACTTAGCAGCCTATCTAAATAAATCCATGTCCAAATCGGAGTGGGCGGTACTGCTTCAGCGTGTTTCCAAAACCTTGTTGTATATTTTCTCTCATTTTCGGACGACGCAGAGTGGTACTTGTGAAGATTTTTCAACAAATTATTGCCATTTCCATTGCGGAATGGTTGGTTGCCATATACACCAGGTTGTCATTTATGTCTCCGCCTTGTTCCTCATATTCTTTCACACCCCATAAGTATAAGAACACTTGTAGCCTTTGTGTTCTCCAACCAATCCACGGTAGTAATGATGGCTGTTTCCACGCCAAATGTGGAGCTGCATGCTGCCAATAAAGTTCTCCAGGTCTCCTAACTCAGCTTACGCGGCGAGCACTCGAACGGACGCTTATATTGAACCGAAGTTTCCGTTGTGATCTGAAGCTGATGCAGATCAGGAACCAAGCCGCACCGTCGGAATTAACTCCAAGTTGCCTATACAGACGACCAAGTTGATTGGAAATCGCTCATTTTTGAATATATAGGCTCATGTGTCTGAAATAACAAGTCACTTCATGCCTCTGAACAACAACAGCGATAAATCACTCACATTATCAGGAAGAATGGATGTCTCAAGTTTCTATGCAGCGAAGCTCGCAATCGGATGTCCGGACCTGTTACTAGCCCGTTCCTTCTTCGCCTAGTGTACGCTGCGTGGTTTGAAGCGACGGGGCCTCGGCGCTCTTTGGTGCGATGTCACTAGTTCACTGTCATTCATTAGCTTGGGGATTCGCAACATAATCCATGACTCACATGCTCTGGTGGTCAAGTCTAGGGGCAAAGAGACGGCAAAGAGCTGTGGTCCTTGCCCTCGTGCATTGTGGTCGAATGTCCTCGGTTCTATTGAAATTGCATCGTCTTCAGGATCAGTTGAATTCAGACAAGTCAAGCTAAGATTTACATACCTACGACGTGGATATTCGAGCTTTCTCTTGGGAATGCACACACGGGCTGCACAGTAGATGAGCTCAGTCAGCTGCTGTGACGGAGACCTGGTCGCACGGACAATTGGACCAGCTAACTCAAAACTCGCATGTTTGATCGGCTGGGGTGAATGGCAGTGCATCTGGTGGGAATCATATTTCTTACGGGCACTGTCTGACTAGCTGGTCCACGATGTATTCTATAAATGTCAGGACTGTGGAAATCTCAGTACCGGGTCAGGGGGGAACTTATCAAGTGACTCAGACACAAGCCTGCTCGACTTTGCGTGGTCAAGTGAATAAATTGTAGAGCAAACAATTGGGGGTAGAGGACGTGGTTATAGGCTTCTCAGCTCGTCATTTCGCGTGAGTTCTCTGCTTGGTAGAACGCGTTGAGGGGCAAATTTCTTATATAAGAGGCCTGTTGAAACCCATGTCTTCTTTTACCACAGCTATTTGCAGCGACATTTTGATGCCCTTAGATCCTCAGCGAGAGAGACGAGTCGATTGGTGTTGAGAATAAGGATGCTAGGTCGGCCAAGAAACGCTGGCTCACTGTTGAATCCTTCGCGGCCCTCTGAATTTAGGCTTTGTGCGGGATATTCTGTCAGCGATGACAGGCTCACATTTCGTGTGCTGATCACCTCATCTATGAACGATTCAACGTTGAATAACTGAAAAACGCCTATGATTTCATATTGAGAAGTCATGCATTTTCTTTTTTTTTCCTAGCCTTGCTTTAGTGTTGTGTAGGTTGTGTTGAGCTGCGGGTCTGTCTGTCTAGACTGCAGATAGAGAGGCCACGGTCGAAGGTGCGGGTGCTCAACGCGTTGAAGCTTGGCTAATCGTTGTCCACCCTCGATTTTCGAACTTGTGACCATCAGACAGGAATGTTTTTTTGTAAAAATTTCATTTTTATTTTGATGACTGCAAGCTCTATGATGTGCCATTTGTTGATTTCTGAGGCTTTCAACGAAGGTGGAAGAAATCTCTAATTGATATATATATCTCAAAGAGCGTTCACATCTGGCCCCCAAAATCGTGAGGCTTGATCATTTACCGACCGACTAGTTGACCATTGCCCTTTGAGCAAGTGGACTGCCAACAGCCCACCGAAAAGCAATCAACCTGTAGCCAAAGGTCGACCGCACCAATTAAGAATAAAGACTCGTACATCGTCGAATGCGTCTGCATAGTCTATAAGAGGCACCAATGATCGATGAAAATAGTATTGCCCAGACTTATGACTTACTGCTGAAGACAAAATAAATACACAAAACAGCTCGACAGACTAGTAAATTAAAGGAGGTCAACAACCTAGTGAATTACCAATTACTAGCAAGAAAGACAACTCACTAGAAACTTCTAGCTATACCCCTTTGATAAGTGAAGTCAATCAACTCCTAATACTTTGCTGACCACCATAGCCCTCTTTATAGCAGGATAAAGATAAAAAATATACCCTAGCAACCGAGGCCTTTCAACCAATTCTAAAGATACTAGCAGACCTCGAACGCAACAATCCTAAATTCGCCTTTCCCGCAGCTCGACTTATCGAACGCTATAGACACTTATAGGAGTCTTGCGTGTCCAAGCACATCGATAACTAGAAGCTAGAGCAGAACAACCTTTTTTAAAGGAAGCTAGTACATACCTGAGAAAAAGGAGAGATGGTCTTAAGGTTCGCCACGATAGACAGCTATATCGACTATACTTTTTTAAGCAAGTACTAGAATCATCTCGAGAAGGACTGGTCAGGGTACTTGCTAACTGGAACCACCCTTCGAGCTTCGATCTGGTAGACTTATCGAACAATACAAGAGGAGAGTGAGTGATCGGCTATTCGGAGTTACCCTTGCTATTGCTTAGAAGCAGAGATACTACAATAAGGTTACAGCTAGAGCAGAACTAGAAAAAATTCCGATTGGTTAGCCATCACAATAATACACCGTATGTCGAAAGTAAAGGTTGAATAATAGACTTTGCAAGGTATTTACCCCAGAAAATCATGTGACGATGGTTCTGAGGATAAGCATGTCCATTGAGATCTGACGAACTGAGTGAGTGGTGAAATACCACTAGGGACCTTCGGAACAGGCTTATTCATCGTTCACCCAATTCTCCTAGTATTAGTATGGTATTCCGGGCAGACTCCTGGGATCGTTCAACTGGTCTTGGTTGTGTAATAGTGTTTGGTTTCCTTGCGATCGCGTCCATATTTTGAAGCTCTGCACGCTTAGAACATGACTCCATCGACATGAGAGTTAATCGTCCTGACTGCCCAACGTAATCATTAGAAGCAACTGCGCAGATAGTTTTCCGCTTTTAGGACGTGTATCTATATTAATTTCCCATCATAAGTTTAATCTAGTGCAGAGCACCGTAAGCTTAGCGAAATTTAGACGGATGCACAGAGCTAACGTTGCATGGAGATTGCAAACGTCATATCATAACTACCATGATCCTCACCAATAGCGTCGATTCTTGGCCATCGTTCGGTGAGGTCATCGGCGAAAGCTCGACAAACCTTCGCCACGCACTTAAAGATTAACCGTCAGGCAACGAATTAGATGGATTTCCGCAGTCCTATCCGTAAACAAGTGGCAGGCCACATAGTACGAGTGCCGTCACAAACTTCACAGAAGTTGAACCAAAATGGAGAAAGATTGCGAACGGTGACGTAGATGTGACAAGGTAGAGTTGCCGGCTCAATAGTTGTCGCGCTCTTACATGCTTCCCAAACTTTGTGCCTCATTATCATTATGTATGTAAAGTAAGTGAGACTCTCAAGTCCCTCACATATTAAATCTTGCTTCTCTATTTCCATACACTTCTTCGTACTAGCGATCCTAGAGTGCCTCTGCAGCTTTTGCAGAGCCCATGATCACAAAGATGCAAGTTCGCCGTCTACTTGTCTCTAACTCTCGTCGTTTTTCTTTTCCACCGGCGATCTTCCTTTCACTTCTGACCTTCTATTTTTCATTCCGGGTCAATACTTTGGAAGTTGATTCGCTCAACCATACGGGGCATTCAGTCTTCAGGGACTACACGGATAGGTCGCGCGTGGGTAGCGAGGCCACTTCTCTGCTCAACATCGCCGTTCTTGATACTCCACTCGGAGACGTTACCTATCACTCGCATTTCTGTGTTGCTTTCCGTACCTCAGATGAAAACCACTGGCTTAAGTTCACCTTAGAGCCCAGCCCTACTATTGTCTCAAATCCTGGCCAGGTGACTCATGTACAGGCTGACGGCACCACCAGGTCTATCAGAGCCATAAAGAGGTCTGAAATAAGTGCCTTCCAGGGGTCAGTGAGGGTCGACGGAACAGGCAATGGATGGAACATAGTTGGGTGGGCCAGGGTTCACTTTTGGAAGGATGGTCGTGACCTTCTATTTGAGGGCACTTACAGTGTCCAAGAAGTCATCCACGATATCAAGGTGCGGGTTGCAGGCATTGGCAATACATGCCAATCGGACTGTACCTTTGGTGAACCTGGACAGATATATAGCTATTCGGCTTCGGGGTCATATCGACCCTCTCGTCCCTCTCCTCCAGCCCAACGTTCAAATACCAACGCTGAAAGGTGTAAGTCACAGCCTCTGGGTACTCGCAGAGACAATCTGGAGATAGATACAACCTACAGAGATGTGCGTCGCCCCAGTTGCATAAGTCAAGGGGAAGGCGAATGTCATGAACCCATCCCGTCCCCACAAAGCATTTCCCGATGCGACTTCAGATCAACAATTGGGGATACCGTTGGATGCCCCTCGATGAATATGATTGCATCAGTAGGCATCGCCACCGACTGCTCGTACACGGCTTTGTTCAATTCTGTTGGCGACGTGGTACGTAATGTTGTCGGTATGATCAACAGCGCCTCGGAGGTGTTTGAACGTTCGTTCAACATTACGCTTAGACTGAGTGACTTGGAGGTCAGTGAGGGTACTTGTCCTACTCCGCAGCAGGACGCCAAAGATTGGAACATGCCATGCAGTAACGGGAGCCTTCTTGATAGGCTAGGTAATTTCTCCATTTGGCGTGCCACACGGGCAGATGAAAACGCATTCTGGACTTTGATTACGGGCTGCTCTGGTGCAGGAATTGGAGTCGCCTGGGTAGGACAACTTTGTAACACAGACTATGACCAGTCTCATGGTACAGGTGCTAATGTTGTGGTGGGCATGGGTCAGGCATGGCAAATCTTCGCGTACGTATTTATATTCTCTTTTTCTCCCGACGAATGTTCCTTGAATACTGATATTTGACAAGCCACGAAGCAGGCCACACTCTTGGAGCGGTACATGATTGTGAGGATGATGCCTGTCAGACGGACCCGAACAGATCATCTGCATGCTGCGCGTACTCGAAAACGACATGCAACGCCGGCGGGAGATACCTTATGACTCCTGTTTTCACCCAACAGACGAATAGATTCTCACCATGCTCTATTGGCAATGTGTGCGGGGCCCTTGGACGTGGGATCGTTAGGTCCGATTGCCTTGTTGACAGTGGTGGACCGGGGATCCCTGTCGGTGGGGGAAGCCATTCAAGGACAGATCCACGTAGGTCTTTGGTTGGTGGCCTCGCTATATGGCTAGGCATTTTGATATCATATTTGGCAGTATCTAGCATCTAACTACTTCGTTCTAAATGCTCGTTAATATTGTGATAAGTGTTGTGATATGAAGCTGGTGCAGATCAGGAACCAAGCCTTGCCGTCGGGATAAGTCCGAGTAGTCTATACGGATGACCCAGTTGATTGGAAGCCATCTTGGCTCATTGTTGCATATATAGGCTCATGCATCCCTCTGAAATTATAAGTCAATTCATACCTCTGAACTACAACAATCGCACCAGAGGGCCCCGAGGATACAACACCCCCGTTAGTGATCTGCACAAAGCCATTGCCTTCGCACTATTCTTGGCCCCGTCGCTTCAGACCACACTGTACTCACCAGCATCATCGCATTCGCAATTTCCTGGGATACTAATTTTCCAATCGAGAGTCTTTTGCTCTCATATAGACAGTTATGCCCGTAAGTTTCCAGACGTGAGCGAGCCTCACCGTTGGCCAGCCCGTCTTCTGCATCGGTCGAAAGTTGTTCTAAGAGTGCGGTGTAAGTCAAGTAGTGAGGAGGCTGGCTCAGTTCTGGTCCTCTCGACATTTCGGGCTCTTGGCGTGAACCATCCACTGTTAGCCGGCTTATTGCGAGAATTTGTAAGATGAATGATTGCTTTTCCGTGACAGCTAATCGTAAATCCCCGCATTGTAGGCCTCAAGGTGAAAGAATCCTGTATGCCCTGCAACAAAAAAAGGTAATTTCATGCCAAGGCTAATCGTCGTCATACTGAAATCATCACCAAACATTCAAGCTTAGACTTGCAAAACTCGTTGCTTCTACAATCTTTTTCCCAATCAAAGTGGGTCAATATCGTCACAAACCACTGAATCTAAAGAACCGCAACAACACGGTGGCTGGCTGATCTCAGAATAAAGTGAGTGAATGGATGCGGGGCCTTTTACCCTGGTCCACTTATATATACCGCTGTTATGAGTTGAATGGGACTTAGTAGCTAAAATGCCTGTGCGCCCAGAAAAGATGACGTCAAGTATGGCAGCGTTGCAAAAAAGCCAAAATTCAAGCGGACGCATGCAAAAAAACTGTATCCTAGCTAGTCGCGGGATAATTCTAATACGCCAGAGAGAATGCAAGGCTGACACAACCTGTTACTTTAGCATTGAACACCCCATGGGAAACCAAAGCCCTGAGTCCGAAGCTAGTACCTCTCCCCCAAGCAGCATTATGTGCTCCGAATGACATTTCTCTCAGGGAGGATCATTGGCTACTGCTTTATAGCGGCCATTCCTGTCCTTCTGTGCATAGTCATTGCTGCTTCGAAGTTGGCAGCTGCCCGACGAGTGCGCTGGGAATCTTCAGGCTCAAATTTAAGTAACAGGAACCTGAGTACTCCGGCCTCCTATCGAAGAAGCCGAAGAAAGACACTATCTAAAACAGCTTTGGATGAAATACCCATGTACAGAACTAGGAGCTTCCCTGGCAGCGGAACATACAGTGGTACTCCTAACGTGGAAAGAGGCATCGCCTACCAACAAACGAGCAGCAGCCATTCCAGCAGGACATTCAATCCAGAGCTCGCCAATCAAAATCTCTCATTATCGAGGCTGGATAGCTTGGTAGGTGGATCCATCTATCGTTCAATCATCTATATGGTATAATCACGTCTAATTTACAATAGTATGCTTTAAGCGGAAGCAGCAACTCGACCTGTGCTGTCTGCTCTGAAGATTTCACGGGAGGCCAGCTCCTACGGTATCTTCCCTGCCATCATCAGTACCACGCAAAATGTGTAGATGACTGGCTGGTTAATGTATCAGGATCTTGTCCACTGTGGTACGTCAGGCGTGGATGCTTCATATGAATCGTCTGAGAACTTAATAGGTTCTAACTTGCTTTTCTTAGCCGTATGAATTTGTGCGGTACCCGAAGTCTTGAAGAGACTAATACGCAGCAAAACCTCCCCAGTCAACCTTCACGGGCAGTTATCGCGCAGCATCCATATTCGTGATGGAACCTCCTTAGAACACCTTAAGCACGACGTGAAGGTTTTGATGACTTTTTAAATCTGCTTGAAAATTTCAGAACGCGTCTCGTAGGGTCTGACACATAGCTTTTGCGGAAACCAATGCGACGAGAATGGCATGACAGGAAGAACTTGTGAGGAGAGCAAGCATAGCGATACCATAAACGTAGGAACAATATTGGTTCATACGCTCGCTTCCACTAGCTAGTGGAAACGCGGAAGACCGATGAGGCGGAAAGATTAAACGAACTGGAGACGATCGACTTTACGACCACTACCGACGTGGCGAGCCGAACCCTTTGAGGAGATTGAGGTCGGGTCAGACTGAGAGATCGCAAGAGAACGGGCTAAGACCGTACAGTCTACGTCAGATGTTGCCGTCTAATTAGACGCCTAGTGGGTGAGAGGACCACTTAGGGGCCGCCTGTTACAGAAATGCTAACTTTAGGCACCAATCAGGCCTCATCTGCACATGTGGGCCACCCATAGCCAACAAAAGAAGGTCGCAACTTCACTAGTGCACCCGAGAAATATTCAACACCCCACGATAGAACGCCTACATCCTAGAATTAGGTGTTGAAATCAATGATTGTCTCATTGATTCAATTGATTGACTTAAGGAGTTATCTTTAGGGCTGTCACGGAGAGTTTAAAGAATGTTCCTACCAGCGTTCTCTTCGCCCAACTCATTTAGGAGAGCTCCTTTCACACCAGGATCCAAGACCTGTGCAGTATAGTATAGATCAGAAGCAGCCATGAAATTATAGGGCTTGATGTATTTCTTGATACTTCCACTAACAGCACTTGCAATATCCTCAGTAAGATCTACAAAGTCTTCCTTGCACTCAGCCAGATCATATAGTAAATCGTGGAGGCCGTAGTATATTGGCAAAACGAGACTGATCTGTGGTCTTTTCTCTGAGACAAACAATGGAAACTCATTGATCTCGAGAGAACATTGTGGATATGGGAAGCCGTATCCATTCATCTGATGAGAAGGAAAGGAAGCTAGTCTCATAGTAGATGAACGTCTCAAGCTGTCGCCCTGACTGTAGAGAGTATTAGTATTAAACATATATATAAAACGAAGGATCTTGCCTTTAACGCATCCCCTAATATGCAAAAAGGTTGAATTCCACCGCGTATCGACATCATGCTCGATAAACTTGTTGGATAAGTTCATCCGGTTGCAAGTATCGTTCCATGATTGCCTTCGTTGTGGACTCCGTTGAATCCAGAGAGCTAAGATCCGTAGCTTTGCAAGTGGTTCAATAGCCTGAAATTCAAATGTCTGGTGTTCTCCTTTATCAAGGTTATTACAAATAGAAGCAGCTTCTTCTGTATTACCGAGCTTCAGAGCCAGTAGAATATCCTCCACGATGAGGTTGATGATATGGGCCAAGTATCTTATATAACTATCCAAACCACAGAATAAGGAATTGGTCCCAAACGCTTTTTGCAGGTTATCGTGTAGTTCTGATGCCATTCGCTCATTGTTACTAGCATTATCCCCAGTAATTGAAAGCAGCTTACGCTCAAGATCCAGTTCAACAAGTAGAGCTTGAATAACTGCGGCCAAGTTCTCTCCACTATGGGGACCGTGGAGCTCTTTGAATTCAAGGACATTCTGTCGATAGTCAAATTTTTCTGCAAACCAATGGCCAATGACACCCAGAATTGGGATATAGTTCTTGCTGGTCCATACATCAAGGGATCGAGCGATTGTTTGGCATGTAGTCGCAAGCTCTTCTTTCAACTTAGCACGTTGTAAGTTGAAGTCTTCCAGAAGACGCTGTCGAAATGTATGTCGAGAGGTAAATGGGAGTGGAATCCCTGGTATATCCTTGAATAATTGCCGAAATTCTGGGGACTCAATGACTGTGAATGGTTGTTTGCTGCTAATAACCCAACGAAAAAGATTATTCTCAAGAAGTTGTTGAGCTGCAATCTTTCCCTTCTTTCCCCAGAGACTAATGAGATTAGGCTTCGGAGCTGGATCAGGGATGGAAACAGTAGGTGGCAGAACACCATGTTTCTCTTTCCAATGATGCCGAATGTTGGTGGTGGAGCCATGCCGTTTGGAGTCCGTTGTAGACCAGTTGCATTGTGTCCCATCTTCATTGGTGATAGCACAACAAATCTCTCGATCAGGGACCTTTTTCCTTTGACTCCTCTTCTCGATCCATTCGTTCGGAATATTTCTTATCAAGAGATGTCTCCACATCCAATCATTCTTTTGGCGTGGATTCGAGCTTAGCGAACCCGTGGCTGGTTGCTGGGAGGCGGATTCTGAAGGTAAAACTTCATCGAAAGATCCAAGAAGAGAATCAATCTTGGTACCGATTGCTGATTGACTATCGCCAAAGGGTGGGGAGGATGGGACCAGCTCTTCCTGGCTAGAAATCCAGTCTTCAGAAGTAGTCTAGACGGTTCCCACGGGTTTGCATGGTTGAAGTATGAGGGATAGAAAGGGTCAAGTTGGAACTCATTACCTATACTAGTGATGATATTTAGAAAAGTCTGCCTACTAGTCCTAATTTGGTTAATTTCGAATGACATGTGATAGTCTGCCGATAATTATCGTATTGACGAATATTCGCGAATACGATATTCGCAACTCAAAAGCCTTGCCGATATTTATCGGCAGCGATAAGATAACCGATAATATCGGCAATTTCGAATATTCGCAACAGCCCTAGTATCAATTTACTGAGTTGGTTAACCAGGTACCTCTCCCATCGCTGGTGCAGATTGAGATTGGCAATTGTTGGATAATGGACTGTGAACTGCGTACATTCCAACAGAAGCACGACCCGGATGATAGAAAACTGATCCTCCGAGGTGTACAGCTATACGCAAGTTGCGAAGCCAGTCCTCGTTGTATCAAATAGTACAAAATAGGAGTAGCTGAAAGATAGATTTTTTCCACGGTGTACAGTACAGTATACCAACTCTCTCTCTTGTGATTTGATTCCGGGAAAATGTATCCGATACGAGCTAAACCATTCTAGGTCACCGACTTTGAGTGACGGCAGAACTGTATTGGTAACAGCCGTACACCGATCAATGCGTAATTGCCCAAGACAAACGGGCGATCGCCAAATCTAGAGTGCGTCATCACTTATTTACAGCCAAACTGTCTTTGTTCATCTTTCAATACTCTTCAGAAGGGCCACGATGAGGCTCATCTGGATAAATGCCCAGAGACAAACCTAAAACGTTATTACACTTGGCATGGACATTTACCTCGATTCTCCTCCTAAATATCGGGCCCAAGACCCTCTCATAACTGCAGCGCTGTCGGAATGCAATGAGCCGGTGATCCTGCACATCTTTCGCTACGACGACCACAATTACGGCATCTTCTCAGGGGATCGCTCTTTGAAATTGCATGCTCAATTCCATCTCCAGAGTCTCCCAAAGCCAGCGTTGATTGTTTACGAAAGTGGGACTAATGCGCCCGATCAAGAATTGGCCCGTTGTGAATTCACCGAAACCGGCCTCAATGATACTGGCTACGCAAAGAGCCCGGGTGGCAAGCTTAGTACTTTGTGGTGGGCTGATAAGCATCAAAATACACCAGTTTCTATCCAATACCGATTTACAGCGTTGGTGTATTTCCCCCCACATGGAAGTGGTAGTTTGTCCAACGCCAGCGGACCCCGACTCTTCATCTGGAAACGTACATCTAGGCTGATGCTAGTGGATGAAGAGACAGATACAGTGGCTGCCATAGTCCATGATATTCCGACCGTCTCAACTAAATGCGGGACACTTCAAATCCAAGTGCCTTTCGGTGAAAACTTTTGCCTTTCAGCTTTGACCACTTTTCTTACATTTCGCGAGAAGCTACAGAAGGATTCTAAGCGTTGAATGATTATCCAAACTGTACCATCCGCTATATGAATCGTGCTTTTTTTCGCGGGTTTTCGCGGGCACTCCTGATGAATCCCACAAGGTATGTATGAGGTGATTTGGCCAAAGTGGGTGTTGCGATTGAATGAAATGTTCGACAAATTGAGCAGGTATGACCTGAGTATTTCTAATACGAATTTCGTTTCCAATCATGTGGCAGCGTAATTTTTGACTGCTACAACCTTAGTTGGCCAGGGCTGCAGCAGGTTGGAATCATGGACTGAAACTCATGTCATGAGATAGATATCCCATCTAGGTAGTCGTTCTTGAGGCACAAGTAATAAACGGCCACTACTGTGTCATTGGTGACCACAACCCTTTTCCGACCCATTTTGTTTTGATGTCCACGTTTACAGTTGCAAATGTCTCTTTTTCTAGCGGGTGTTTATGTTCGTAGGGCTATGGCATTCGGCTCTCTCGGCTGAAGATCGGATTCTGCCGCATCATCCAACCAGGACCTGCACATTTTCGGAATTATCTTTCGGGATTCAAGGCGCAAGAGTGTCGACGTATAACTGATTTTGAATACTACTGTATGTTCTCTAGATCAGCCGAGGGCAATATTGCCAAGATCCAGTCCGAAGACATCCCCCGCATCGAAGCATGGGCCAGAAAAACTGGTTCCCTTTTTGCTGCAGGAAAACAGAGCTTATTAACCTAACCCGGAAGAAGAGCTAACAACTTCAAAACCACTTAACCACGACCGGCAAGACGATCAAACCGACAACTACCACCAAGCTGCTGGGTGTGATCTTCGATCAGGAGATGCGATGGAAAGAACACGTCCAGCAGGCAATCAAGCGCGCAACTCAAGTGAATGTTGCACAGGATGGGCTACGGCACCTCCGCCCAGAACAGATGCGACAGCTTTATGGGGCCTGTGCCACCCATGTACTAGACTACGCGTCGATGTCTGGCACGACCCACTCGGAGACAAGACTCACCTACGGCATCTGCGCACGGTGCAACCGACTGCACTCATTCTTATCCTATCGGATTTCAGAACAGTAGCCACCTCAACACTAGAGGTTGAAGCATACATATTACCAACACATCTCCGACTGCGTCATCGCGCACAAAGCACAATCACCAGGCTTCACACACTCCCGAAGGATCACCCAATAAGGAGTACATTACAACGTGCCCCAAAATGAAGGAACAATATCGGGTCGTATTCTCGATTTCCACTCGCACAGGCGCTGGAGGCAATGAACCTGGAAAGGTTGCAAGATCTGGAAATGATTGACCCTAGACTACAACCACCCTGGAGAACAGAGGCATTTATAGAGATCGAGATTGAACCAGATAGAGAGATGGCAACACAGCGAGCTGAAGCCATTCAGTCTAACTCAGACATAGTCGTCTATTCGGATACATCGGGGCGTCAAGGTCATCCAGGCGCCGCTGCCGTGATGCTCAGCAACAACCTAGAGGTGTCCAAGTCCTTACAAAGCCAGGTCGGGCCTATGGATCGATGGTCTGTACACGCCGCTGAACTGATCGGGATCCTGCAAGCCATCAATCTTATCAACAAATTTTCTTTTTGAGCACCGGCGGTCAACCGGTGAGCAATTCAGGCTGGCTACTATCCTCAGTGACAGCATCTCGGCGCTACAGGCAATCCAAATCCGGGGAACAAATTGGGTCAACAGATCATCCATGCTATCTTACAAGAGGCTACAAATATCAAAACACACGGAGTTACCATTCGTCTCCAATGGATACTGGGGCATTGCGCAGCACCCGGGAACGATTCAACGGACCGTTTGGCCAAAGAGGCAGCCTTACCGGGCAAACCCACACTTTCTGCCCCTTGCTGTCCCGAGAGAAAGCTTTCGTCCGCAACAACATCCACGTCCGGTGGGAAAAGGAATGGAAGGAGTCTGGAGAAGGCGGCCACCTCCATACTATTGACAACGCACTACCTGCCAAGTACACCAGAAGGCTCTACGGGCCTTTACCGAGGCATCGAGCCTACCTACTCACACAGCTACGAACAGGACATTGCTGGCTGGCGACGTTTGCGAAGGCATTCCGCATCCAGGACAATGACCGATGCGGCTGTGGCGACCGGGAAACACTGAAACACGTCCTATGGGACTGCCCTGATCTGCGGGAGTTGCGGCGGGAATTACTGGAGAGTCTCGGCGACGCGTTTCACAACGTGTCGAGCTTGCTAGGGGGTTCTCAAGAAGAAAGGAGAGGTCAGATATATCATGCCTCGCGAGCCAAGACGATGGATGCTGTATTGGACTTCGCGGAGGCATCACAAAGATTCCGAAGTCGCGCGGCACGAGGGCAGCTTGACAACTTGAGCGGCAATTAGGCCACGGAAGGGCTTGGCGAGGCTCTAAGTTCGTTCCAGGAAGTGGTACACTTCACATGTACGTATATGGATGTATATAGTCGTGGTAGCCTGCATATCGCTTCGGCAGTTGAACCCTGGATTAAGGTACAAGTGTGATGATATTCTCAATGGAAGATCTAGTTATTTATTGTTCCAGCAGCTCATCTCCCTGCTGCCTAGCGTAGTGTCTGCCTAATAGGCAGACACTCCTGCAGATCTATATATATCACGTGACTTGGATTTAACTTCGGCGAGGGATCAGGGTAATTAAAATCTACCTACCTACACACCTACAGTATCCAAGGTCTCATACTGGCAAAATATAGTATATTGTAGCAGGAAACAATTTTATTCGTAAATTATCTCGGTCGCCAGATTGACGGTCAAGATGCACTGGGTGCTTGAAATAAACTTTGTGGGTTGGCCGGGACCAGTCGGTTTCTCGGGCCCTAAAACACAAAGCGGAGACTTTGTTTAGATCTACGATCTTGTCCTTACACAATTGAGGTTGATTTCGAAAACCATATGCTAGAGTTGGCAGACTTGCCATCGAGGTGGAGCAGATAGGGAGAGGATAGATCCGGCTCAGAGAGTATACTTTCTACGAGGAAGGTTTATGCAAGACATAGCTTCTAATACGTTCTATAGACCAGATAGAGAATGCAGCATCTTCCCACTTGACGGAGGATCAATCACTCTCTTCTCTCTTGCGAGGGCAAATGAACCGCGGATCAGATCTCGTTGCAAAAAGTTTGTGATATTCCAAATACCTCATCTGCCCCAACCGACTTCCCAAGCAACAAAGACCTGTTCTATCTGTACTCTGACGGCCCGTCAAGACTAGGTTGTGGATCGTGTCTGGACCCTTGCAAATCATTCTAATTTCTCCGGGCCACATTGAGAACCTCCGTGATCTACTGTCCCGTGGGTCGTCCCTGGGATCTGCATCGCGGAACCGTACTTGCGTCTATCTAAATTCACACGCGGTGCTTGATTGGTCCGTTGGGTGCTGTTTGTATCTAGGGTCTCATCAGTGTGATAGTAGCGTTGCAATCTGGCGAGGGGGTGGCGATCACCGTGAGCCATGGTAGCTGAAAGGATTCACTTTATTGTCCTTGAAACTGGACTCGGGTTTCTATTATAGGCTTTCCAACAAAGTCTAGACTTTTGATTGTCCGTCAAGGAAAACAACTAATACCCTGGATTTGGGAGTATGTTCATAGTGTCCGCACCGACAGGTAGCAGAAGTACTAGTAGAGGCAACATCAGTTGGTTGCGAGCAACACAGAAAAGTACCGTTAGCGTGAGGCTAGGCAAAGAGGATTGTAGAGGGATCAATGGGAGGCACGTCTTATGGCCAACTGAGGGTACAGTCGAATGTGACTTTCTGCCACAAAGTCCCCAACCCATTATTGCGGCACGTGTTGAAGCACTTCAACCCTCATGACAGAGACGGTGACCGTGCCGAGTGACCATGGTCAAAACAGGCAGAGTAGTCTACCACCGCGTTGAGCGATTTAATTGCAAATTCAATGATATATGATAATCATATTCTTGCGGTATCAATGTCTTTTCAACAGTTGATGAAAGTCGTTCACCACACTCAACGCAGGCTTTTGAAAGCAATGAATTCAGGTTGAAACTTGAGTCTGTAGGCCACAAAGTCTCCAAACACCATTTCAACGTTGTTCAAATGTCCTCAACGACAATAACGAGACAGTGATTCTCGCTACCAACTGCGCAACTGGTTCCTTGGTCGAGACGTCGCCGAAAAAGATAAAAGGGGCCAGATTCCCACCCCAAAAACATCAGGACTTCGGTCCTCACACTCCGATGTGTCATGGTGCCCCTCTCGTGCCTACGGGCTTGAGAGCTTCCATGACCACGGCGGTCGCTGCCACGAGCCGAGCGATGTAAGACTGTGCTCCCTCGCTGCCACAAGCCCCGCGAGTGTAAGAAAGTGCTTCGCATGATAGGTCTGCGTCAACAACAATCCTCGCAGGATAGGCTCTGCGTCATCAATTGTGTCTTGCAGGATAGACTCTGCGTCAACAACTGTGCCTCGCAGGATGGGCTCTGCGTCAACAACTGTGCCTCGCAGGATGGGCTCTGCGTTATCAACTGTGTCTTGCAGGATAGGCTCTGCGTGATCAACTGTGCCTCGCAGGATGGGTCTGCGTCAACAATAATCCTCGCAGGGGGGGGGTGCTGCGAAACCAAGGACTTCAGAGCTTCCGTGACTACGGCTGTCGCTGTCACGAGCCCAGCGATGTAAGACTTGCGATCCCTCACAGCCAATGAGCCCTGTGATTGTAGAAATGTGCTCAGTCATGGCAAGACTTGGCTCACCAAGGACTTGTCATCGCTCTCCAGCGATGTGCAGGCACCTCTCCGTGGTGCTGGGGACTATTATTCGAGTAGCCCAAGGGCATTCGAAGAAGCAAAGACGTGCACAACATCTTCCTCTTCTTCGTATTCCGAAGTATCATCATTGGAGAGATAGAGTGAGCCCTGGATAGATGCCTATCAATTCTTCGCTATCGAGCGCCGTATTCCCCACCCTCCTGCCTTGGTAGTTTGCGGTCTGCTAGTCCATCCGCCCCAATAGAAGGCATCCGCCATCAGAGCGTAGAGCGAATAGAGACTTGAGTGTTTGGGTGCGTCGCGGATGTTGTTGATGGTAGTTGATGAGCGTTAATGGTCGTTGATGAACGTTGAACGTTGATGAAGGTTGGTGAACGTTGATGAACGTTGACGAGGGTTTTTGTTGAGTATCACGGTGGTCAAAGCTTGTGTGGCGAGACTAGCGATGCACATTTAAATAGACGGGTTTCCCACTTTTGATAGCAACCACAATAAGAATATTACAACTACCTATCTCAACAGGTTATGAGCCCGAGTGGCTTTACCTTTGGGCATGCAGGCATCTAAATACCAAAATCCCTTGCCTATGATTACAGCTAAGCTTCTCTGTCAAGAGACCAACTCCATGAACTTCAGAAACTGATCATATATTCTCAGTAACTTGATGAAAAATACGATGTCATATTGCTCAACCCTCTCTCGAAGCAATAATTTGGAGGAAATTCTTTTCACTGAAGAGCTACAGACAGCATGCTATCATTGCTACTGTGACAAGGGCACGCAGTATCGCAAGGTTGCCTCCATACCCGGGACATGTCGCCGTTTGCAGCAAGCCTTAGGGATTTCTCCGCCAAATAGCCATAGACAGTGTGCCATGATTGCTACAGTTACACTATGGACTGCCACGAGGTACTGCAAACGTTACCTACTGCTGAGACATGTCACCATTTTCAACAAGCTCGGTATCTATCTTCTTGGAGTCACCAGCCACAAGGCCATTTCGGAAGGTAAAATGCGAAAAACACTACAAAAGAGACACTCTTGGACAGACGAGGAGCGGAAGATTCTTTCGTACCTCCGACGCACTTGCCACTGGCACTTCAAGCAAATCCAAAAGTCATACTTCCCATCACTTTCTCTGAGCGCACTCCGAGGAGCCTACTGGCACCAGTCTACCGAAGACCGCATACGCCGAGCATCGAACGCCACTATCCCAATCATCGATCCTGGCAACTCGGTCAAAGGCTTCTCAAGTGCCTCCAAAACCCATTCCATCTCGGATAATCTCAGTCGATCAGAAAACAGTATTGAGGCTTTGGCATCGACCCCTCCAAGTCCCGTGGATAGAAACAGGCTATTCATTTCCAACGAGTGCAACTCGAGTCGCTACGAACTCCGGCCAAACAGACCCTCAAACTTCCCTCCAAGAAAGCCGCAATATCTAGTTGACCGACGCCGTTTCCCCCACTTCTTTAGATCGTACAAGTACTCTCTCAATCGACAGGGGATCCCAGACAGCGACTATACTCCTCCATCTCGGATGCCTACGCCAAGCTCATCAGATCGAAGCGTTTCCATTGTCTCAAGCCTTCCTAGTGCCACGTCAAGCCTTGAACTCTTCGGCTTGGAGGTGCGCTCTCCTCGGTCATCAAATAGTGGCTCGGTTACCTCTGATCGGCCCAACGACATATCTAGCTCTGAATTCTTCAGCTCCGAGGAGCATCCTCTGCCGACATGACTGAAATCGCAAAGTTCGAGCAATTCGGAATCAATACGTTCTATAACGGAATTCCAACATTAGACAATGCCAGCGACTGGTTTCGGTGGAATCAGAAGGTCAATGAGTTCATTCGGATATCTGCGGTTGCCGACGATGGAGCGACTCCGCCGACAGAAGAAGAAGAAGCAGCACGGCAATGGATTCACCGCCAAAAGTTCTATTCTGCGATGATTACGGCAAAGTTGACACACAATGCGGCGCAAAGAATCAATGCTTTTGAGATACCTCGAGTTCAAGCACTGCTTAAGGCAGTCCAGGACAACTTCAAACCGGAAGGCTCCGGCACGTATGTTAGCCTCCAACGACGATACATGGCCCTCACAAGAGACAAGTGTGGGAGCACCCAAGCGCTGGGGGCAGAGATCAGGAAGATTCATGCTGAAAAACTCCTTCTTGACCCTGATTGCGTGACCTCCGAAATTGAGCGAACATTTTTCTTTGTTCATGCACTCGGCCCCGAGTACGAGAGCTTCCGCGATCATATCTTCCGACAAATGGACCTTGTCAACGAAAGAGATGCAAATGGGAGTATTATCAAAGCAGCACCTACATTTGACTATATCGAGAATAAGGCCATTGAGGAAGAGCATAGAAAAGGGCAATTGGGCAAACAAGCAATGGAGTCGCAAGCTCTTCCTGCTCTTGCCCTAGTCCGTGGGCCAGGTGACAAGAAGCTCATACCGTCGTCGGACGGAACTACTTGTCGGATAGAGATTGATAACGTCCCATATTGCTCCTTCTGCCGAAAACCTTATCACATCGACGCCGAATGTTTCACCAAGAACCCGAGACTGAAGGTCCAAAGGAAGGACGGAGACGGACCGAAACCAAGACCAGGCAGAATTCACATAGGCGGACGCAGACAGTCGAAGAGGCGGACCTTGACGGATGACGAGGACGACGATGGGAGTGGCCCAAAAGACCCGAAGAAACCAACCTTCATGGCGACGAAAGTCTCCGGAAAAGATGTCAACGAAGCATTTGGAAACGATATCGAGGGCAATCTCACCCTGTTTGACCATGTTCCCATTATGATGGCGATAAAGACCCCCTCCATCCGTGACGCGTGGATCGTGGATAGTGGATGCGCTCAACATGTTTGCAATAGCGCCTCCAGGTTTGTCCAAATGGCTAAATATCATGGGCCTTCACTGAGAGGCATTGATACCTCAACAGCTCCCTCGGGCGTGGGAACAGTAAATATCCTGTGCAATGTACGCGGCAGAAAGAAATGGCTAGTGCTTGATAACGTCCTGTATGTTCCATCTGCACATGCCAATCTCATATCGGTGCTTCAGCTTCTCCAACGAGGGGCAAAAGTCGAATTCTCAAGCCGGGATGCTATCCTTCGCAACAAGTCAAACGGAAAGAATCTGTTTACTGCCAGTGAATATCATGGAGTCTACGCACTCGATCTGTGGGCAAGTCTGACTTTCCCCTCTTACCATGTTAGCCCACAAATGTCTCTGTGGCACAGCCGGCTTGCCCATATGAGTGACGCAAACCTTCGGCGACTCAAGCAGCAAGCTCATGGCGTGCGGGACATGGAGGCACGTCATCCATGCAATCCCTGTCTGCAGGGGCGAATGATCGAAAGGTCTCACAGAAGATCAAGGGTCAGCAGGAGAGGAGAACACACAATGGACCTCCTCCATATTGACGTCGCAGGGCCATTCGATGAGGGCGTAGATGGCAGCCGTTACTGGCTAACCATCGTTGACGACTTCACGGGCTGGATCGAGATTTTCCCGATACCGCGAAGACAACACTTCGTCATAGAATCACTGCGGTTCTTCCTCGACCACAACGAGCGCCCCGAGCGAAAATGCAAACGAATACGTCTGGACCGGATATCTGAACATATGGGAGACGAGATGAAATTCATGTTGTTCTCGCGCGCAATCCAAGCGGAGGTGACAGGAGTGGATCAACATCAGCAAAATGGGGTTGCCGAAAGAGCTCATAAGACAATCTATGACCGTCTTGGGCCTACGCTGGTACATGCAAGGCTGCCGTCTAAGTTCTGGCCGGAAATTGCTCGAACTGCAGCTTTCCTCTCGAATCGGTCGCCGTCATCCAAGCTCAACATGACTCCGTACCAAGCGTGGTACGGCGACAGACCTGACCTCTCAAGACTAAGAATCATCGGATCAAAAGGAGAATACTTGATTCCGCCAAAGCAAAGAAAGAAGCTCACGGATCCACGAACAAGGCCATGTATTTTGCTGGGCTACGAGGGCAATACCAACTACCGTATCCTCCTGGGAGACGGGAGAATCATTGGAACACCAAACGCTGAATTTCAAGAAGTCCTTACAACTCCCTCCACACAGAATTTACAAGATGTGGGAGCCAGACAAGACGGCTCACCTGAGGCAACGGCTGCTGTCGCAGGGGGAGTGGGACGGTGGGACTAATAAACCAACCGTCGGTAGGAATACGGCAAGCATCCGTGCCTGCCTCGGGGCGCCAATTGTCGATGGATCCCCCAGAGCGGGCCCTACCTAAGTCGAGAAACGATATCTCGCACACACTGCCTCGGAGTGATGATAACTCGCGAGTGCTTACCCAGCCGAGTGACGATAACTCGCAAACTCAAGCGTTGTCCCAAACGAGTGACGATGACTCGCAGCCAGCTGTTGCTGTACAGGGAGACAGGACCTTGTCGCGCACACGGAGTGAGAACACCTTCGGACCTCTATCACCTGCTTATCAGGATTCCGTCCTTGGGATTGAATCGCCACCCGGTGGCGACCAGCAACAGGGCGACGCGGTTGCTGCTCAAGGAGACATAACCTTATCGTCCATACGGAGAGGGAACACCCTTGGGCCACTATCACCTGATTATCAGGATTCTGTCCTTGGGATTGATTCACCATCCGGTGGCGACCAGCAACACCAACGAGGGCCAATTTTAGAACGGCAACGATATTCAGAGCTCCATCGGCCGGTCCATGAAGTTCAACAAGGAACATTAGATCACCACCCTGAACTAAAACTTCGGGCTTCGGAAGCCGCATTGGACAAACCTGATGGGGACGAAGAGCTTGCGCTCTTGAACGTACCTGAAGAAAACGTCATTCCAACCTTCTTGGCCATGGCTGCAAAGGAGACGGAACCATTTGAACCCAAAACTCTGAGCCAAGCAAAAAACGACGCAAGCTGGGTGGATTGGGAAAAAGCCATGCTTGAGGAAGTGAATTCACTCCACCAAAATCACACGTGGGAGCTTGTGGATCCTCCCAAAGACCGGCGGGTACTCAGCGGTAAATGGGTCTTCAAACTCAAGCGCGGACCGCATGGCGAAATCATCCGCCACAAAAGCCGATGGGTAGTGAGAGGATTCACACAAGAAGAAGGAATTGACTATGATGAAACTTTCGCATCGGTTGTCAAGCCAATGAGCTACAAGGCTCTCTTCGCCATCGGAGCGGCCCTGGACTTGGAGATTGAACAAATGGATGTCAAAACCGCATTCTTGTACGGAGATATCGACCACGAGATCTACGTCGAACAGCCCCACCACATGACGGACGGCACGCCAAGGGTCTGCAAGCTTCGAAAGGCCCTCTATGGCTTGAAGCAGGCCCCTCGGATCTGGTACCAGACCCTGACAAACTTCCTTCGCAGCCTTGGCTTCGAGCCAATCACCGCCGATCTCGGTATCTTCGTCCGGAGCAGTGTGTACATCGCAGTATACGTTGATGATATCCTGATCGTGGGTCCGAGTATCGCTGAGATCAAGAGGATCAAGCGGAGCCTGAGAAACCGGTTTCAGATGACGGACCTGGGGCCATGCAGCTACTATCTCGGGGTGTCCATCCAGCGAGACCGTCAAAACAGGAGACTGCTCCTAAGCCAAGAGGCATACATTGACAATATCGCTCATCAACATGGAATTGACAACTGCGCCCCCGTCAGTACGCCGATCGAAACCTCACCACTTCCGGAAAATAGTCCAGACTACACCTGCACTCCAGATCAAAGGACCTCTTACCAACGCATTGTCGGATCACTAATGTACATCATGCTTGGAACCAGGGGGGACATCGCGTATGCGGTCTCTGTCGCTAGCAGATCTCTCTCAAACCCTGGGTCCCAGCACATGAAACTGGCCCGTCGCATCCTGCGGTACCTCAAAGGAACAAAGAACCTCAGACTCACCTACCAAGGTCAGCTTCAGACCCTGAGAGGCTTCACAGATGCGGATTGGGGAGGATGTCGCGCCACGAAACGATCCACAGCTGGCTATCTCTTCAACATTGGAAGCGGGGCAATCAGTTGGCAATCGAAACGCCAGGGCGTTGTTGCCCTTTCAACCTGCGAAGCCGAGTTTCTAGGACAAACGCAAGCCACCAAAGAAGCCGTCTGGCTGAGAAGACTTCTCAATGAATTGAATATGGATCAAGGAACAACCGCCACGATCATCTTCGGTGATAACCAGGGTGCCATCGCTCTTGCTTCAAATCCACAATACCACTCCCGCACAAAACATATGGAAATCCAACGCAAATGGCAGGGAGAGATCCAAGATAGCGGAGGAGTGCAGCTTGACTATGTCCCAACCACAGAACAGATTGCTGATGGTTTTACCAAACCTTTGACTCGGCAAAGATTTGAGTGGTTTCGAAGAGAACTCGGCATCGAGTAATCACGTCTCCATTTCACTCGAACCAGTCCAAGGTGCAGGATACCCTTTCCTTCTTTTCTTCTCAAAGGAAGTTTTTGGAAGGTTTTAATGGGACCTGTCTCAACCGCGATTGAAGTGTCACCGGCACCATCGGAGATGGTTGCCATCGAGTGGGAGTGTTGAGTATCACGGTGGTCAAAGCTTGTGTGGCGAGACTAGCGATGCACATTTAAATAGACGGGTTTCCCACTTTTGATAGCAACCACAATAAGAATATTACAACTACCTATCTCAACAGTTTTTATGAGCGTTGATGGTCGTTGATGAACGTTGATCAGCATTGATGAGTGTTGATGAACGTTGATGCACGTTAATGAACATTGACGAGGGTGTGTGCTGATGAGCGTTTAAGGTCGTTGATGGTCGTCGATGAACGTTGATGAACGTTGACGAGGGTGTTGATGGGTATACGGCCGGGCGGTGGTGAGAGGTCAACGTCTCACGGCCTTAGCGCTTAGCGCGAGCCCTTTCTTGCCATCTCACCCATATGACAGCAGGTGTATCAATTTTGTTGTTGTTTCAATTCTGCGATATTTCTTGTTCCCTGATGGTAACTCAGTGAAGTTCGCATACAGCCTCCATTTGTTGTCTCAAATAAACATTGTGATGCGATGGACTGTTCCTTGCGTAGTCAAACTTATCGCTTCAGGCGGGTTGCAAGTCACTCAATCCTACCCTACCCTACAATGCCTACATCTGAGAACGGTCGCGATAGTCAAATTGGATTCGCAACAAAGACAACCAATTTAGGCTTCTTTGGCTTGAGAATATCCGATCGGCTCCTTCTACAACTGGGAGCCGTCGCAGCATTGTGAATAATCCCGTCAGCAACTGCGATTCATATCGCCTACCCATCAGCATCCACTACTGCACTCAAAGCGATGGCCATTGCTTTTTGGGGCGTAATACCCAATTTTATGCGATCAAGCATGCTCCGCTGCCGAGAGCACACTGTTGGAGCCGATCAGGGGTTAGCAAGCGCCATCCTGACCAGATCTGGTGAAGAAATCTCCGCCATCAT